AAAAAAAAAATAAAAGCCTTGCAAATTATCTTTCTTAATTCCTTAGAACAACCAGTTTTAGTTGGAGATGACTCACCCAGATGACTCAGTCTAATCCTTCTAGTTTCTGAGGACTACTGTTGAGACAGCTTTCTGGATAGAGAAATTCTGGCAAGTGGTCCACAGGCTGATTTTCCTCTGGCTGTCTTATTGGATGACTACAGTTTTGGGAGACTTGTAAATATTTTATCTTTCTCCCTTGAAAGGTTTTCTCTGGAAGAAGGCACAATCTGTCTTTAGTTTCTTTTAATTTCTTCTGCTTTTTAAATTTTAAAGGAGCTTGAATTGGAGTGTGAGGAAGAGAAGAGCTTGGAGGACAGGACTGAGAGCCTTCCATCTACTCCCTCTCATTTCATTCCAAGTGCTGCGAAGCATCCGAACTACAGATGGAGAAACCAAAGTGTCACAGAGATGGGACCAGACCCAGGAGAAGAGGATTACAGAGTCTTACTGCAGACCTGGATAAAGCAGGAGAAATGCAGGTGGGATCAGACTGATGAAAAGAGAGACGGTGTAGAAGCAGCTCAAGACGCAGACTCCTGTGAAGAGGAAGATCCAGCTGGGAGTCGTGTGCTTGCTTTGCGTCCTCTGCCAAAAAATGCAGCTTGGTCCAAAAAAATGTTTTACCCTGTACATGACTCAATCAGTCCTAATCCTGAAGGGAGGCTGGACAGCTCGGATATAGTGACAAATCTGGAGAGACATCAAGGGGATATCCCATTCCACAACCCTCGCTTCTACATAACCAGGGCCAAATGTGTTAAGTCCATACCAGGCTACAAAGACTTGGCATTCCCTGATTTCTGGGGCCACCAGACACCTCCTTACAGCAAGCCCGTGTTGGAGCGCAAGTATGGGGTTCAAAGGTGATTACACTTTAATATAATTGCCATGCTTAGAGCTCTTGGACTCAGAACTGGCTTATGTAAGTTCTGACTGTAGCGTCTCTGAATGTCTTAGGACATTCTAAACCAAATTTTGGGCTATCCAGTGATTTGCCACAGGGCCAAACATCAGGAAGATCTTATTTTTGTTTTCCTTCTGAAGAAAGGAAAATGGTATCTCACTGGATTAGGGAATACGAAGCCTATTTCCTGTCTCTTCAGTGTGTCAGTGGATGAGTTGCAAACTGTTTGTGCATTACTTTCTTTTAGATCGAGGTGATGGCCACTTCTAGTGCTTGCCACCTTTGCTTTCATCTGGCTTTTTGAGGAAAAATCCTTTCTGTCCTCTCAGAGCTGTGTGGCTGTGTCAGGTTGTTCTCCCCTTCTGCTCTGTTGTTCCTTCTTGCTATGCCCCTCACTTTCTGCCTGCTACATGGGGTCCTTCAGGATCTCCTTCTTCCCTAGCATGTGCATCTGCCATGAGTGGTACAGGGAATTATTAGCAGACGCCAAAGAAGTTGGATTTCATGATAAACATCAAAGTTGACCAAGGCTGATCAATTGGCATTTATGAAGATCACTAATTTCTGACCTCTGGAGAGAGACTGATTCTTTCTGCTGCAAATATAAAAGCAAAAAATCCTGTTAATAGGGAAAACCACTCACTCTACCATATTCTCCCTGCACTGTTGCTCTAAAAGCTTTGCTTTTATGACTATAATAACATGTGTAACCATACAGCTAAAATGGGAATAATCATATCATGCTTCAGGGCATAACATGATTGCTGCAAAGGTCAGAAAGAAAATCTGGTATTTCACATTTGATCATCGTTAGGGATCAGAGAGCTTCAGTTTAATAATGAGGAGGAATTAGCTTGATTTAGAGTCAGGGTTTGCTATGAGACAGACTGGTAGGTTTGTAAGTCAGGGCAGATATTTCCTCATGGACAAGGCTGGCCATTTGGGAGATGGATATTGACTGGGAAGAACTGGGGATAAATCAAACTTGATAGAATACACTAGAGAATAAAAATTATACAGAATCAGTCATTTAACCCAAAAGGCAACTTGTTGTAATGGGAATTGAGCAGGAGTTTTCTAACGGAGGAAAAAAAAGAAATCAAGACCACCTGAAATTAGCACATGGAATTCCTCTTTCTACTGGGCCTTCTAAAGAATTTCCTGTGTCTCTTCATGTTTATTCTACAAGATTACCCTATGCCAAGTTTTCTTACAGCATCATTACAATTTGCTTTTTTTATTTGCCTCCTTTTCTTTTTCTCCCCACTAGGGACAAAGTACTAGATGATGTTCGCCGTTTAATCCAGCCAGGTGATGTGATAGGCAGAACTGTTTTTGACATAGATGATCCCAGGTGAGTAACCTGAGTCCTGAACCAGGGGCACTGTCAGTGCTAGGATAGGTGGTGAGCTCAGTTCACTTGCTCAGCTCCAATAAAGGAATAGAAGAAATAACCTAGGAGGTAAAGGCTCCACAGGAAAACAAAGCAAAAGAAAACAAACCAAGAAGAGCAGATTCTTTGTACATGACTCTGGGGAAAGGATTTATTGTGAAAATCACTGAAGCAAGAAAACCTCAAAACATTTTAGATGGAACAAGAAAATCTGTACATGAAAGGGACTGGATGGTGTCCCTGGTTACATCTGCATTGCATGCAGTGATTTGGAACAGAAGCATGCAGGGTGAAGCTGTAACTTGTACACATGAACCCAAATGCAGTCCCTCTGCAGCCTGAAGCAGCATTTCCCATTGAGAGCACTTCAGGGTCTTGTACAGCCACTGTCACAGGCTGTAGATGTACCCTGAAAGGTGTGGCACTTGGAAAAGGCTGCTGAAAAACAAACATCCAGCCTTGAGAACTGTGTTAAGTACTCAGCTATGAACAGCAGCTACAGTCTTTAAGGAGATGTAGCACAGGGCTGTTGAGAGGGTCACAAACACAAGAAATTGCTTTCAGGGGAAGGGTGAGTGACTCGGTGGGTATTCTTTAAAGAAAAAAAAAAGGTGAAGGACAGGTTGAGGTAAGAGAAGGCTGTGAAGTTGTTCAAGATGAATTTAAGGGTTTCTAAGCTTTGCAAAAAGGAAACTCAATTGATAAAGGAGGAGTGAATGTATAGTAATTGTATAAAGCTGTCTCATGCAATTAATAAACTAATAGGAGTAACTCAGTGGGGAAAGTAACTGGAATAATGTAGGTAAACATGAAGTAGGATAAAAGGGAGTGTTGGGAAAGGAAAAGAAGTTGAAATTTAGAATCACTAGAGCAAGAGAAGAAAAGGTTGCTGCATTGGATAGGAAAACTACGGATTTGTTCATCTCGTTACTTCTGTGTCTTGCTTTTATTAAAAAAAAATGTATTTTAGTGTACAAAAGGTACTGGGGAAGGCTTGCCTTTGAAGTAACCCCTTGTAGATATCTTTGCTTTGATTTACTGCAGCCTCTCAAGCCCCCGTGCCCCAGGCTGTCTGACATTCTTCTCCAAGTTTGAATCGGGAAACCTTCGCAAAGCCATCCAAGTGCGTGAGTAAGTACGTCTGCAGCAACTGCACCCCAGCCTGCCTCTCTGCTGGGACCACAGTGTGAAACAGGGGGGCTCTGGGTTTGGAAAGGGTCAGCCAGGGAAGCAGGTTATGTGATGAAGAGTTTACCATGTCTTCCAACACCTAGATGTGATGAAAGTAGCAGGAGTGAGAAAACAGCTCAAAATGTTTTGACACGTCTAAGATCGTGTGAGTATTTAATAGTGTGTTTGGGCATGGCTAGTTTGATGATGTTCTTTGACTCTTACAGGATATTTGTGACTTTGTATAGCCTGCTGTCCTCAGCAGATTCAGTGTCAGACTTGTGGGGTATTCATGATCACTTTTTTTTTTCTGGTCTACCCTTACAGGTTTGAGTATGACTTAATTATGAATGCAGATGTGAACAGCAACCAGCACCACCAGTGGTTCTACTTTGAAGTCCGTGACATGAAATTAGCAGTTCCCTATCGCTTCAACATTATCAACTGTGAGAAGTTCAATAGCCAATTTAATTATGGTAGGAGTCTTTGGGGAATGGGTGTAGTCTTCCATTCATAAGAATATCTTTTTAATGCCATAGAGGTGTTGAACATTCCACGTCTACAGGGAGACTTTAAACTTAATCTTATCAGCCCTGAAATCCAATGAAATAGTTACTTTAGATTTGTCAGAGGACCTTCCTCTATCTTCAGGGGGACTGAGGAATTGGAATGCTGAGACCTTGGAAAGGATTTGTGGGGGGAAAAAAGGTCATTGCTCTGTGTTTAGAGGCAAGAACTGAGAAAGAATGACACCGGATTTGGGAGAGGGGGAAGGAAGGCGACTTGTTGGAATTGAATGAGCTGCATAGGATTGGAAAGTGCTTCTAAGATTTAAATAAACGTAGCTAAATCCTCAAGCAAATATTCATGATTCTTTGCATATATCCAGAAAGACATTTCTGCCTTCAGACCTGCTGAGACTTCTCATACTAATGATTAAAAAAATTCTGTTCCTTGCTGTCTTTGAGCTCCTGTCGTAGTCTGTAGTTCAGGAGGAAGGTGACATTGCTCAGAATTAGGCAGGACAAGCCCCAGCTTTCTGTTCCTATTTTGGGAGAGAAATTATTTCTTCTGCATAGAGACTGAGTTGAATTCTTAGCTGACAGGCTGGGTTTGTTTGGGTTTTTTGATTTGTTTCCATAGAGCTGTGTTAATTTACACCAGCTCAAGACTTGACTCAGAATGTTTAATAAGCCCCTAATATCAGACTTTGCATTCCATTGAAGCCCAGTGGATAGAGCCTTCGACATCCCAAGGAGAACTCTCTCAGGATCAATGTACCTAAAACAAATAGCACTAGGAGCTGGAATGACTTGTCACTTGTGTTTGTGAAACTGGCCGGATGAACGGCATGATGAATTATAAAACATTTGCTCTTTAACGCTAAGGGCTGGAGTTTAAGTATTCTTATAGATCCCAAATGAAAATGATTTTTTTTTTTCCTTCCCATCTTTTGCTGCTTCCCTGAATCACCAAACAAATGATTATAGTGTGTCAGGTAGCAGCCTGAAAATGAAGTATGTTGAGATCATACTGCAAACCTCAGTACAACCTCTGACACAACCATCATTAGCTTCATAGCTAGGGATTCTGGCTGTTATTGGTGGAAAGTTGTTTGTTATCTGCTAGTTTGGCAGATCATAATCTGCCATAATGAGATTATTTTTATAATCTCATTTTGTGCACCTGAAATTTTACATGACTTACATGTGCAAGCGTGCAATGAAAAATATATATGGAAGAAAAAATGTGAAAATATCATCCTGTCTATGGAGAGAGGCTGAGCCATGGCTTGTTTTGGTATGGCTTGTATGTGGGACTGGCTGTTAAAGCAATTCTTCTGTGGGTTACTTCTCCTGCTCTGAGAGGGCAGCGAAGCTCTAGATTACCTGGCTTGGCTGAGTGAGGCTCACCACCCCTTCCAGCACATGCATAATATTTACACAGGCTGTTAGTGAGAGATGCACAGGGAATGCAGCAAATAAACTGCACTTTCCTGGGCTAATGCCCATGTTACAATGCTAAAAGCTTCCAGTTGTGATGCAGAGCCAAAGTGCCCGGGGTGGAATACTTTGCAGCTCCTGCTTACTGACCTGTTTTGGTTTTTTTCCTTTCCACTTTGCTCTTGGTTAGAAAGCACTGTGTATCTTCAAAATCGGCAAAAAGGGTTTTAAATAACCTTTTAAAAAACTATTTAAAGAAATAGTTGTGACCAGGAGCAGAGCAAGTCAGGACATGCAACCCCCACCTCTCTCCTCCACGTTTTTCCACTGACTTACTCTACCACAGGAAAAAAATGGGATTTCATCAGAAGCTGGTTTTGTGTGTGTTTTCTAAAACTG